CCTTCGATAATTGCTTGTTTACAAAAGATTGTCCCAAAGTCAGAATGGCTCCCCATTCTCCGTTCTAACCCTTGTAAGAAAACTGCCTGCCTCTGAGCTGCGGGGTCCAAACCGCAAGCCTTGGTGAGGCACCTTCCATTACCTCCCGCACCTGCCTGGCATCAGATCCTCTGTTGGCCTCATTCTGGCTCAGAGGACTGGCAGGAGATACAGCAGAAAGGTGAAGGCTCTCAGGGAAGAATGCATCAGTGACTCATGCGTGCTTGCTAAGTCGCTTCAGTTGTGCCCAACTCTGGGCGACCCTATGGACCGTAACCCTCCAGGCTCCTCTGTCCATGGGATTCTCCAGGCAAGAACACTGGAGTGGGTTGCCATGCCCTCCTCCAGGGGATCTTCACAACCCAGGGGCCGAACCTGCATCTCCTGCATTGCAGGCGGATTCTTTACCATCTGAGCCATCAGGAAAGTCCTTCAGTGACTCATGCCAAAAATTAAATTGGATTTCCTGTGCTGGGCCAGTTCAACAACTTCATCTTAAATGGACCAACAACAGTCAGATCCTGATCTCTTTCCTCCTAAAGACACAAGCTGGAATTCTGCCTCGCACCCGCGTCCAAAATGGAATGTGTGAACCCAGGTCGCGTCTCTGTGGCCTTGAGCTCAGAGACCCTGAGCAGCCTGTACCAAGAAAGAACTAGGGCACAGCTGAAATCCAGAAGGGAGAGGAAACAGGCGGAGATCCACGGGGAACAATGTCTATTTCTTAATCCGTCTCCTGCCCCAAATAGCTGGGCTCTCCTCCCCCACTGGTGTTTACTGTGTCCCTCTCCCTGACAGCAGGTGCCACCAGGCCTTAAACTGGGTCACCGAGGGCGGCGAGGAGCCGACCAGGCCCTCAGGCCGCATCCTCCCCTGACTTCACTCCCCAGGCTCCAGACTGGAGGGGCAGAGCCCAGACTCCAGGTGGCCCCTGCCCTCCAGGGCGTCCCGGCGGGGCCCCTGCTGCCCGGAACCACAACCAGCGAGGGGGGCATGCTCTGTCCATCCTGTGCGGGGGCAGAGGGGCCACACTGCCTTCCCACTGCAGCCTCAGTGAGTCCCCTTGAGGGACCCTCCTCCCCAGGGCAGCCAGAGGGCCCACACAAGGGCTCGCGACACCCTGGGGGCAGAGCTAGTGTAGAGGATAGAGTGTAGATTACAGAATCAGAACACAAACAAATTAAACCTCAGATTTGAAACCCCAGACCCCCGAGGCACAGGGAGGGAGATGCTTGCTCAGGATAACCCAGCGGGGAAGTGGCCGAGCGCAGGCCGCAAGTACCACTGCTCACCCGCTCTGGCCTGCAGCCACGTGTCTACCCCTCCCGTCCGACCCCGCCCCTCCTCCTTCCCAGGATCCCCAGCATCTGGTCCTGATGGCGCCTTTCTCTCAACAGGTTCTGTCGGAGCATGGTTTCGGCCTGATCACCACGGACATCCGGGAGGGACAGACCTTTTACTACGCGGAGGATTACCACCAGCAGTACCTGAGCAAGAACCCCGACGGGTACTGCGGCCTCGGGGGCACCGGAGTGTCCTGTCCCCTGGGTATTAAAAAGTAATTTCTCCCCACGTGGTCAGCCCTCGAGGTCACAGCCAAAATGCTTCCAACAAATCGGGGAGTTTTTTTGTGGTTCACGCCAGGGGCTTTTGGAAGTGCACAAAGGCATTCATAAAAATCTGGTTTATTAAGGGGTAATTTACACGAAGTGCCATGGCAAGTTGATAACATGTAATTTATCTTCTAATAAGTTATGGCAGGAGGAGCCCGCGTTGAAGATTTTTGGGTCATTTGATGTCTGAATGAGGATAATGAATAATCAGTGTTCACCTTTTTTGTGCTTGGGTGCCTGCCCTGGATGTCAGGGAACTAAGCTGGGAGAATATGTGTTGTAGGGCAGAGGTCAGGGCTTCCTTCACCACAGCCGGCCCCCCTCAAAAGCCCTCCTGCCCTTCAGTGCCTTAAAATTTGCAAATGTTTATAGCCTCAATGAATCATTCACTGAAATACTTTGCTCAAGTTATCCTATACATGTACAAGCGGCTTTCTCTCTCTTTTTCGCCCTCTTCATGGCAGGGAAAAGCTATGAGTTAGCTTGATAAATTTTAACGCTTTGCTCACAGCTCTGACATATCCTTGTTCTAATAAAGGTCTACAGTCTGCTAATACAAACTGATGTCTCGTCTGTCTTTTACTTGTTTAGGTAGGATACTTCTAAGTATTATAAGATAAATTTTAGAGCTCTCAAAGGCTAAGAATCATTTTCCCCCAAATGGGAAATCTGATTGCAATCTTTAGAAAACATGTACAGCTCTAGGTCCTTGCAACTTTAGTAATAATAGCTGTTTTCCATCCGCCTATTATAGTCATCACATCAGGGGCTATTCCAGGTAGAGAATACACACATGGAATCTCTGCCCTTAAGAGTCTCTGTATTGAGGACAAGGGGTGGAGAACATATGCAATAAACAGGTAAACCCGTGAATAAGTAAGATAATTTCTGGTCCTCACGAATGATGGGGAGATGGCAAATCAGATAAGCTAGTAAGTTGGGCCTGGGGGCTGTGGAGCTGTGTTTAGAGCTGTTTTAGCTGGGCGGGTCAGGGGAAGTGGTACAATGTAAGTTGAGGACTGAATACTTTGAATGATGCAAAGGAGAAATGAACACACAGGTTGGGGCGGAGAACAGCATTCTGGGGTCAGGAGGTGGATGAAGAAATATAACACGGTTCCCCTTGGACAGAACCCATTTCTTTCTCTTGGAATTTGGCTGTACCCTAAATGCATCAAGAATGCCTAGGTAGAGTGGGTATCCCTAATCACTGTCAGCATCCCCACTGTAGCTGCTTGAAGGAAAAGCTTTCCAGACAGACCAGGAAGTATACATGGCCCAAGGCAAGGGGAAATTTGTGGTGTTTGAGAACAAATAAGCCATTGGGGCTGGAATGGTTGTGAACGAGGATGGTATTAGGGAAAAGTATCCCAGAGAGCTAGGGAGAGCCAGACCACGCTGAGTCTTCTAAAGACATGTTAATAAGATTTAAAAATTATATTCTAATTTGTCCTTGCCCCACCCCCTTTCCCCTTTGGTAACCATAAATTTGCTTTCTATGTCTGCGAGTCTGTTTCTGTTTTGTAAATAAGTTCATTTAGATTCCACATACCAGTGATATCATATGGTATTTTTCCTTCTCTTTCTGATTTACTTCATTTAGTACAATAATCTACAGGTCCATCCATGTTGCTGCAAATAACTATTTCATTCTTTTTGTAGCTGAGTGATATTCTGTTGTGTATGTATGTACCAGATCTTTGTATCCATTCACCTGCCAGTGGACATTTAGGTGGCTTCCATGTCTTGGCTGTTGTAAATAGTGCTGTTATAGACATACAAGTGCATATATCTTTTTGAATTTGGAGATTTCTCCAGATATGTGCCCAGGAGTGGGATTACTGGGTCATATGGTAACTCTATTTTTAATTTTTTTTTAAGGAACTTCCATAATATTCTCCATAGTGGCTTCACCAATTTAATTCCCACCAACAATGTGGGAGAGTTCCCTTTTCTCCACACCCTCTCCAGCATTTGTTATTTGTAGACATTTTAATAATGGCCATTCTGACTGGTTAAAACCAATTCCTCATTGTAGTTTTGATTTGCATTTCTCTACTAATGAGTGATGTTGAACATCTTTTCATGTGCCTGTTGGCCATCTGTATGTCATCTTTGAAGAAATATCTATTTTGGTCTTCTACCCATGATTGGACCGACAAGGGCTTAATTTCCAAACAGCTCATGAAACTCAGTAAGAAAAAAGCAAACAACCCAATGAGCTGTGTGTTTCTTTCCCACCTCATCTCTAGGACGTTTCTACGTCAGTGATGCGCTGATCCTGAATCTCAGCATTGTTACTCATGGGCTCTGAGAGCCAGAAGCAGCATTTACTGGGGCTCTGAGCCAAGTGGAGACAAGGGAAGGTAAAGAGCAGGGACCTTTCTGGAGATCAAGTCTGTAGGTCTCAGGGGTGAGCTACGAGCGAAGGAAGCTTGTACGGAGTTGAAATGTTTCTCCATGCAGGAGCAAAAGAAATGGAAAATGAAAGAAGCTGTAGAAGAGACCTGATTGTGAGAGGGAAGAAGAGCAGGCTTTCTATTTCAGAGCTCCTTGTACCACTCCCCATGGAAAGATGCTCCATCCAAACTCTTGGAGAGGGCTCAAGGTCAAGTCGGTAATCTGCCTCCAGCTCCCAGGGGAGCCACAGGCCTCTGAGTGGGTCCCGGTTGTATTTTAAGCACTGCTGTAGGTAGACAAAAGTTTCTCAGTTGTGTCCGGCTCTTTGCAACCCTATGGTCGATACAGTCCATGAAATTCTCCAGGCCATAATACTGGAGTGGGTAGCCTTTCCCTTCTCCAGAGGATCTTCCCAACCCAGGGACTGAACTCAGTTCTCCCGCACTGCAGGCGGATTCTTTATCAGCTGAGCCACAAGGGAAGCAACCCACTCCAGAACTCTTGCCTGGAGAACCCCATGGGCGGAGGAGCGTGGTAGGCCCATGGGGTTGCAAAGAGTTGGACATGACTGAGCAACCACTTCACATAGGTAGATGATTGGGGTTTCCCAGGTGGTGCACAGAATCCCCCTGCCAGTGTGAGAGACGCAAGGGATGCGAGTTTGATCCCTGGGTCAGGAAGATCCCCTGGAGGAGGAAATGGCAACCAACTCCCATATTCTTGCCTGGAAAATTCCATGGAGAGAGGAGCCTGGTGGGCTACAGTCCATGGGGTCACAAAGAGCCAGACATGACTGAGCATCTGAGCATAAACACACACATATAGGTATACGATTATTTCAGGCACGGCTAATTGTATCAGAATCCCTCCCTGCAACCTACAACCCACCCTTGAACTTACTTCAAAGGCTGAGAAGGACACTTGGTTTTGAGCCAATGCAGTGTTTAATCATGGGGATAATAGAAACATCAGAAAATACAGTACCAAGATGGCCCAGGGTGATAGAAGCAAACTGTACCCAGTGTCTGGCTCATGCCTGTAGGGCCTTTTTGACAGCTTGGTCTTCATCTCAATCCATGACAGGTAACTAGACACCTGTGTGTACACTCCAGGATGTTTCTTCTGGCCACAGCCCACTCCCCAGCTGACAATGCCCAGTTGGTACCATTTGCTTTTCCTGGTTTTTTTCTGGCAAACCAGAGGCCCCCCACTGTCACCCTAAGAGAGAAAAGTTGTTTGGACGTGGAAGGTGTGGCCACAGGTTGCTCTTACAGCCTATTGAGGGGTGGGCATCTGGCATAAAGCGCATGGTGTCACTGGATAGGTGGATGTTTTTAATTTTGATTCGGCTCTCCAACCATGAATGTGCTCCCAGCTCTTCAACTCTCAGAAAAGGGAGCAAGCAATTTAGTCAAAAGCAATGGCAATGAATTGGGTCGAAAAAGTAAACATCCACCATCATTGTCCAGTCACATGCATTCATTTTGATGTACCAAGGAGTTGTTTCCAAATTTGTTTTGCCTCTAAGCACTTTTTGGCTTTTCAGAATTCTTCCAATTTCCCCTGGAAAAGCTTCGTTTTGCTCTGAGTTGTTCACAATAGCAAAAAGGAAAAACCCAAACCAAAAATCCATTATGCTTTACAATAGGTCATTGGTTGAAGACAACAGGCATACAGACTATATATTCAGAAGGCAGAAAGTACAAAAATCATGTCAAAATGTTAGATTGTGGTTTAAAACATCAAATTTTCAACAATTTACCAATCTTAAAGCATCATGAAACAGACTGCCCAAAAAAGCCCAGGTGGAACAGACATCATTGACATGAAGATGAAGGAACACACAAACTTTCATGGCCCCAAAGCTTTTGGACCATTTTACAATTTCTATTAAAGAATCATGCATCTTGATAAAAAATCAGAAAACTGAGATATGGAAAAAGAACATAAATAATACTCATAATAATATTAGTAAGTAAATTTATACATAAGAATAGACACAATTGTGTATGAAAAGTAAGATATTCTTAATACTTTGACAGTGATTTCTCTGGGGAGTGAAAAGGAGAACAATTATAAAAGGCGAACTTCCTCTTCACTGCACACCTTTCTCTACCCCTGGCATTTTCTTTATGAGTGCTCAAATAAATAAGTGAAATAAACAACACTGCTAATTCCAGCCATGCAGAGGCAGCTCCTTAGTCCAGTGTAACTTTCTGCATCCTCCTATTTGCAAATACACAGACATGTCATTATTATTTTACAGAAATAGGATCCAGCAGTACATAGTGTCTCACAGCTTACAAAGATTTATTTTTGAGAATACTAAGTGACACACAGGAAAGTCAAAAAGAATTACCATTTTAACGACATGCCAAAAATCCAAATACAAAACAAACAACCCCCCCCCCAGTAGTATATGGGTCTGAGTTTTTAAAACCAAATTGTTATTGTGAACAAATTGCTGTGTTCATCAACTTAATTTGAACTAAACTGTTCTTTACCTAATTCTTTGGAGTCATTGGAAATTCCCATGATCTCTCTTTAAAATGAAGAATAATACTCGCTTCTCTAGGCATGAAGGGGATCTATGTGAAAGATGTATGTGTGGGAAGTCACTTCATTCGTGGCTGACTCTGTGCAACCCCATGGACTGTAGCCAGCCAGGCTCCTCTGTCCATGGGATTCTCCAGGCAAGAATACTGGAGTGAGTTGCCATTTCCTTCTCCAGGGGATCTTCCTGACCCAGGGATCAAAGCCACGTCTCCGAGGTCTCCTGCATTGGCAGGTGGATTCTTTGCCACCAGCACCACCTGGGAAGCTGAAAGATGTACAATTAAGAACTTAAGTTTCTGGAGCCAAACAGACCTTGATTCATACCCCAGGATGAATACTTAGTTGAGAGACTGTGAATTTTTCCTTCAGTGTTTTGAGGCTCATTTTCATGCTGGTGATCATTGTACCTCTCCCATAGGACCGCTGTGTGAAGGGAAGGAACTGACCCCTGTAAAACACACCAGTGATGTGTGGCAAGCTTCACTCTCTAGTAGCTCCCAGCAGCTTTGTGGTTGTTGAATCTTTGTGGAGCTGCTGCATTTTGGAGCCCCATTTCTATTGGAACCCCAAAGACGGCTCTCCCCCTTGATGTCATCAGGCTTTGGTGAGAACTCAGAGTCTGTCATTTACCTCCCGGGGTGCCCTCTGCAAGGCTGTCAGCTCTCCTGGTCCTCCTCCTCCCATCTGAAGTGGGCCTGCTTCCCAGGGCTAGTTCACAACCCTGAGGTGTGTTTGTGGAAGTACTCTGCGTGCTGCTGAGCACGGAGCAGATGTGAGACGGGGGATGGAGAAGACGGTGTCTGCATTGTCTGCCATGACCCTCCTTTGCTCTGTGCATTTCTAAATGCTTTTGTACATGAGTCACTTTATCTTCACAATAGTCCTAAGAAGACTCTTGTGCATGCTACGTCACTTCAGTCCTGTCCGACTCTTTGTGCTTCTGTGGACCATAGACCGCCAGGCTCCTCTGTCCATGGGATTCTCCAGGCAAGAATACTGGAGATGGTTGCCGTGCCCGCCTCCAGGGGATCTTCCCCACCCAGAGATCAAATCCATGTCTCTTACATCCCCTGCACTGTCAGGCAAGTTCTTTACCACTAGCGCCACCTGGAAAATCCTAAAAAGCCCCTTAGTTGTCCCATTTTACATACGGGGGAAATGTGAAAAGGCACAGGCTCAGAGGGGAGCCCAGGCTGGGAGTAGGAGGAGCCAGGAGGGAAGCTCAGGCAGCCCGCGGCCCTAACCACTACCCCGCACAGCCCCCATTTGGTCACAGAGCAGCCCTCCCAAATTCTTGTCCACCCAGAACCTGAGGATTTGACCTTATTTGGAAATAGAATCTGTGCGGATGTAACTAGTTCCTTTAAGATGCAGTCCCACTGGATTAGTGTGGGCCCTGATCCAATGACTGGCAACCCTATAAGAAGGGAAAGCAGAGGAGACACACAGGGGAGAGGGCCATCTGACCCACTTTCTTATCTGCAGCAGGTTGACAGTGTCCACCCGAAATATATGTTCCAACCCCTTGTACCCATCACCGTGACCTTGTTTGGAAATAGAGTCTTTACAGGTCTAATGAAGGCTCTTTGGGGAAGATTACTCTGGATTCAGGGTGAGCTGTAAATCCAACGAGTGGTGTCCTTATAAGAAAAAAGAAAATTTAAGACAGACACAGAAGAGAAGGCATTTTAAGACAGAGGCAGAGACTGGAATAATGCACCTACATCATTGAAGATGGATGCGAAGAGCGGAAGGATGCACCTGCAGGCTAAGGAAAACCCAGGGATGCCTGAAACAACCAGAAACTGGAAAAGGCAAAGAAGGATCCTCCCCTAGACCCTCGAGAGGGAACAGAGCCCTGCCAGTGCCCTGATTTGGGACTTCTGGTATCTGTGAGAGAACACGCTTCTGTTGTTTTAATCCACCTCCTATTCAGAGGAGAAAGAGGGAAGCCAGGTGTCCCACCCTGTCGGCCAGCTTTCTGGGACAGCCTCTCTCCCAGCTTTACCTGGCAGGCATCCTTCCCACCTTCAAGGTCCCCGGCACACAGCATGCTCTTGGTGAGTAGAGGCATCAGCTCAAAGCAGGTTTCCCACTTGATCAGCTGGACATTGACTTTCTGGAGCCCTGTCTCTGTACTCCGCTTAGGGACTGACCCAAAAAAGAAGCAGATGGGGAAAGGACCCTGAGCACTGCGTGGTCCCTTTGATGGACCCACCCACATCATGTCTTTTCACCTCCACAAGGAACTGCTCCATAGCCCAGGGAACAACCCGAATTTGGACTGGCTGAGGAGGGAGTAGGAGGGTTATGCAGGAGACTCTTGAACCCACTCTCTGTGAATCAAGAGCTCCAAGGACTGGGTTTCTATTGATTTCAGCCTCAGTGAGACGTCTTCTGGTCCTGCCAAGGGTGCCAGGTTCCAGATAGGATCCTAAAAAGGTGTTTGATTCAAATCCATGAGGATGTAAAGAGAACCCACAGTGACAAATTTAAAAAAAATGGACTTCACACCAGGGCCCCTGAGTTCACCGCCTATGCACTCAAGCTGAGCCCAACTCCTAGAATGTCCACTCTCAAAGATGGGCATGGTTTCCTCTTTGTATGTTGCTGAGCCCCTGGAGCCTACAACACTGCCTGGATCCTAGAGGAGTTTCAATGAAAATGAGGTAAATGAAGCATAAGGAACCCTACATGCGGAAGGTGGCCTTTTTTTTTTTTGAAGCTATTCAAAAGCTTCTAAGGGCAATTTCCAAGAAGAAATCTAACCTAGCTCTGAGCTCTGGGACCATGTAGAGCCATTCTGGTGCCTCCTTGCAAGAACAGCACCAGGTGGAATCTGTTTTTCCTTTCCCTGATGATTATGGGGAAAGTCACATTAACCAAGAAGGAAAACAGAAGGACATCACTGTATGGGTCAGCTGAACCGAGCAGCAGGAGTTGACTCTAGAAGGATGATTTTATATTTGGTGAATCTCCTCTTCCTTGGCCTGGATCTGTGGTTTGAGCTTTTAGCCACAGAGCCCTTTATCACAGGGGAGAAGAACTGGTTCCATCAACTGTAACAGCGTTGCCCTGGCTGACATCAGCGTGTTCTTCCCAGAGCCCAGCCCCTTTGCCTATTGGTATGTCCCTCCAGATTCCTCCAGGTCACCCTTAGGACACTGAATATGTTTGCCTGGGTTTTCCCTGAGGCCCTGTTCAGGGTTCCTATCTCACAATATGGACCTGAAACTTGCTACGGGTGCCCAGAAACAATGGCTCCCATGCAGACAAAAAGGTTCCTGGTGGGACCTTAATGGAGAACCAGAAGTGCCCGGGTCCACCAGGCGGACCTCCGAGGGCCAGCGGCGCCTCCAGAGCCTGCTTCTCGCTGCAAACCTCAGCCAGGGTGCCACCCCTCCCCCGGGGTGGGCCACAGTCACTCACCAGTAGTACCCCACCCGGTCACCCAGCAGTTCCTCCATTGCTCTATGTCAGCGACCTCCGAAAGGCAGATGGGTACCTTCCTGACACCCAAGCTCAGAGGCGATTTCAGCAACAGCAAAGCGATGTCATTAAGGTAGAACCAACTGTCAAAATTATTGTGAATAATTAGCTCGTCCACTTTTATCTTCGTCAAGTTCTGGGTGTCAAGATTTTCTTCACCATGTGTGACCTCCAAGGCAGATCTTATTCCAAAACAAAAGAAAGAGGGAAAAGGTAAGTGGTGGAAAGATGAAAAGTGAACCTTAGGAGAAAATAACTGCCCACCTCCCCCATCTGAGACTGATCCTGGGGACAGGGGGAGGCAGCTCGGGCTCTGCGCCTGGCTGGTAGCCACGGAGGAGAAGCCAGACCTGACTGCTCTGCCCTGCCTTCTGGCCAACCAGCTCTTGACCTAATGGCAAGACTTGGGCAAAATTCACCTGTAGATTTCATCAACAAATGTCTAGGAAGCCATACTATGCCTAAGTCAGGGGTCTCCAACCTCTGGAATCTAATGCCTAATGATCTGAGATGGACCTGATGTAATAATAATAGAAATAAAGTACACAATAAATGTGATGCACTTGAATCATCCCCAAACCATCCCCTCTCCTAGTCCATGGAAAAACTGTCTTCTACAAAACTGGTCCCTGGTGCCAAACAGCTGGAGACTGCTGGCATAAGTAGTTGAGGGACTTAACCTTGATTTGCAAGGAAAGCTTGACTGGCTGTATTACAGACAAATGAGAAGTTTTGCAAAAATATGATTTTGTGGACTGGGGCTCAGACAATACCTTCTGTCATGCAGCCAGGCCTGGTGCCCTGCCCTCAGGGCCTGATGCTTCTAGGATTCCCCAGTTCATGGTCACTGTCAGCCCAGTGCTTAGGAGAGGATTCTCCACGGGACTACATGCACTTAGCAAAATGCCGTTCCTTTCCTCAGTAAAGGAACATCTGCTCTGTGGTGTAGAACCCACACAGCAAGCTGTGCGCGTCCTGGGAGAACAGCTTCTTTCCACCCGCAAAGGGTTGTATTTAACCACACAGGTGTCCATCTCCTTGTATTCTCTTTTATGCCTGATGAATGTGAATAATAGGCATGTAGGGGCAAATATAATAGGCATATGGGGCAAAATGACATTAAAATGTAAATAATATAAAGTATGAAAATAAATAATATAAATATTAAAATAAATATCAACACTTACTCATTTTTGCTTTTGAAGCAGTGGGCTGCGGTCAGAATCCACCACTCACTGAGGATTGATCCTCCACAGAGATGACTCCCGTTTTCAAGGATACGAATCTGCCAGGGGAAATCTCTGATGTTTGCAGGCTCCCCGCCTATGATTTCCAAAACTTCAGACTTCTCAGAACTGTTCATTCTTTGGCCACATTTCACTAAGAGCAGGAAGAAGGGAGAGGGAGGAGAGACCCAGGGCCTCACACAGTGGAATATAACAAATGGTAGAATCTGTATACTTGTGTAAGACTTTTCCATGCCTCCATATGGTCTTCACCCCTCAATACTGGATCTGAGCAAGTCTGATGCCACATCTTTAGGAAAACCATGCAGAAATCTGAAGGTCCATCCTCTCATTTTACGTTAATATAAAACATAACTGTTTTTATTCTGAGTCTTATATGTAAACATTGAAGCAAACTTTAGCTTCCTCATTCTGAATTTTTGTTTAAGAGGTATGTGATTTTAAGTACCACAGTTTAAGTGCAGCTGTCAGTGGTCATGCAAATTGAAATGTGCATGTATTTACACAAAAAATCTTGTGCGAGTACAAAAATTCTATATTTTTGGATCTCAATGGCTCAACTTTGTGGAAAATGAGAGTTGGGACTGGCTTGGAAAATAAGAGACACATGGTTGTGAATTTTAGGAGAGTCCCTCGGAGAAGGAGATGGCAACTCACTCCAGTATTCTTGCTTGGAGAATTCCATGGACAGAGAGGCCTGGCAGGCTATAGTCCATGGAGTCACAGAGTCAGACACGACTCAGTGACTAACACATACACATAGATGCTGGGATCCTAAGTGGTTTCTACAGTCTGCAGATAGAAAACTGAATGAAGCCTTGGGTCTGCCAGCACCACAGAGCAAAACTCCTGGTGGGGGAATTTGTAGATCTTCCCTTGCAAATCCCACTGGAATGAAATTAGCAAGACTCTAGATTTTTTTCCCCAGGTGGCTAATTGATCCAGGTCCAGAGGTGTGACCAAACAGATTAAGATAGGGAGGTCTCATCTCAGGTTTTTACTTGTTTTTTCTTTGCCTGCACCATCAGGATGTCTCAGAAAATCTTTTTTCCCCCCAAAAGACCCTTTCGGTATATGTCACCATGAGAGAAGGAGAAACATGACGGAAGAGACAACTCAGGTCTTTAGCGTGGAAAGTTCCTGCCTGGCAGGAAACCTGGTGGGGAGGGAAAGAAGTAGGGTTTGGAGTCAGAAGTTCTGAGTTGGACCCACTGTTTGCTAACTGTGTGTCTTAGAGCCACTGATTTAGCCTCTCTGAGCCTTTGTCCTCTCATCTTCCATACAAAGATAAATATTAACACAATCTGCTGCCTATTTTTTCATGTCGCATCAATTTAAAGGGATGACGTTTGGTTTCATTCAAGTCTGGATCAGGGAGTCTGAGCTGAGCCCAAGACTCTTGGTTCAACCTGGGGTTCCCTCTGTGCACTGTTTCCCTGGGAGGATGTCCTTGCTGGTCTTCCCACATCAGTGGCCATTCCTTCTCATACTCTTTCCCTGAGTTCACCTCCTCTTCCAAAACTCAAGGCTGAGTCCTCAGACCACTTCATTCCCTATGCATTTTGGCTGAAGTATCCCAGCCCAGCCTAAGTTCAGGTATCACCATTATACAGACCAAAGCTTATCCCCTCAGGCCTCTCTGCTGAGCTCCCCCCTTAACAACTGCCCTATTCCATAGTTCACAAGAACATCTAAGAGGAGCCTCAAATTAAAGCAGTCCAAACTGAACCATCTACTTGCCTAACCTCGCTTCTGTGTCTCTCTGGCACAGTTCTACGGATGGAACCACACCCATCTATTTGCTTAGGCAAGAAGATCAGGCTGGAGTTATCCTTGAGTTATCTCTTTCTTCGACCAGTTCCATCAACATTACCAAACAGTGTTGAAACCGAAGGCAGCCACTCCTCTGCATCCCTCTGGCTATAAACCCAGCCTGGCCATTATCCTGTCCTGCCCACTAATGCCTCTCTCCACTTCCACTCTTGCACCCCCACAGTCTGTCCTCTGGAGCAGCCAGAATGTCTTTCTCAAGTGCATCTCATTTTTTACTCTCCCATTTAGACTCAGATGGCTTCCCATTGTCACCGGAATAAAATCCCAAAGTCCTCACTGTGCCTTGATGAGCCCACTCTAGCACCCTCCCCCCATTCACTCTGCTCCAACTATACCACCCTGTCTACCCCTAAAACACACTGGACTCATTCACAGCTCAAGACCTTTGCACTTGCTGTCACTTCTGCTTGGAAATAGGTTTCCTTCTCATAGGATGGGTCTCCACCCAAGTCTTGTCGTCCCAGGAAGGCTTTCCATGACTGCCTCCTAGGACAGTCTCAGCACTCCCCTGCAGATCTCCCATCACATTAGCCTGTTTTATATGTTTCATACCATTTAACAGGAACCAGAATTAACTTGTATTTACCCATTTCTACATTTAATACTTCCCTCCAGACACTAGACAGTAAAACTCCTTAAGGGTAGGAATTGACATGTCATTCTCTGCTGTAAAACATCTCTCTCCTGGAATTCCCTGGTTGCCCAGTGGTTAAGCCTCTGCGCTTCCACTGCAGGGGGCATGGGTTTGACCCCTGATCAGGGAACTAAGATCACACAGCACAGCCAAAACAAAGACAAAACCAAAAAACATCTCTCTCCTCAAATAGCTCCCAAGTTGCTTTATAACACAGGGAGTGCAACCTGCTGCTCTGTGACCACCTAGAGGGGTGGGATAGGGTGGGAGGGAGAGTGCACTGTACACTTAAGGCTGGTTCATTTTGTTGTAAGGCAGAAACCAACACAACACTGTAAAGCAATTATCCTCCAATTTTAAAAACTAAACAGCTCCCAGCATGTAATAGAGGTTTGCTATCTGTCAACCAACAAATTGAAAATATAACACGCATCTCCATAAGTTCTTCAGACCCAGGGAGATGGATCCACAGTAGGTATTAAGACATTGCCTTCATTAAAGCTTCTATTATTTATGCTTTGCATTAGACCAACGAGGCTCCACATGATCCTTCAGAATGTTTTCAAAGAGAAAACAGCAGAGAAATTCCTCTTTAAGGATCATATGGGGCCTTAAAGCTGCAGGACAGGGCTAGTTAGCATCTTCAGATGGACAGCTGGTTACCCTTCTCAAGGGGTTTACTTACTTTGGCCATTCACTCTGGAAAACTGGTACCTAACATAGATGTTACACACACCAGGCTTTTCCACAGTTGGGGGTATGTGGGGACCAATGATCTGAGAGTCTGGTCCAGGGCCCTCACATGAGATTCACTAGAGGGGCAGTTCCACGGATCCCACCCAGAACTACAGAATCTGCATCCTAGAGCCTGACCCCTGGACCAAGCTCCCAGGTGATACACCTGATGGCCAAGGAGTGAGAGCCCTGGAGAGGCACAGACCACGGACACCAGCAGAGACCTACGTCCCAGGCTGCTGTGTGGCCAGCGCAGCAGCAGAGCGACCGGCAGCAGGAATGCGACTCTTCCATCCCCCATCCTGTCACTGGCCTGCTGTTGACTCAAGCCCATGGAGAGGCTTCAGGTAGGCCGGCTCATGTGCAGTTCAGAGGGACCCCTCAGGGCCTCGCTGTCTGTGCCTGCACTCTTACGGCCCAGCCTGCTGCCCAGGTCACAATAGGGCACTGGGTGGAGCCAGCTCTGTCCAGACAAGACAGCCAGGAGGCATCCTGGACCGGAAGCTGATGATTCCACGAGCCAGTCCTCTGGGATGCGGAGGTCAGTGTGGAACTGGTGAGGCGGAGGGCAGCAGAGTGGAAGGACTCCAAACCAGCTGGTCTCCTGTAAATCGAGGCATCTCAGAGTCACTGATGGAGCAGGAAAAGAGAGAGCTGAAGGTATTCTTCAGAAGGGACCCGAGACGGCTGATCCTAACAAATCAGGTGACACCGTGCAGCGAGCACAGACTCAGAGTCCTATGTTAGAATTCATCAACCTAACTCAAATCTTTCCTCTGCCAGGAGGGGGCCTGAAAATGGGAGACACAGCCTCTTATCTCTGTTCTTTGGAAAACAATATGAATTTGGGCTCAGCGGAGAGAAATATTTCGTTGCAGCTGTAAGTGTTTGCAAACTTCGGGGCCCTGGAGGGCACATGTTCATATACGGTGGACAGGACACAAGTAAAGGATTCACAAGGTCACCTGGCTTAACTCCATAGCTTCCATGGCTCGCCCTGAACTTCTGAACAGGAGAACACAGCATGTGCACAATCGTCGTTCAGATCCTCAAGAATTCCCAATATCCCAGCACATGTATGCACAAATTCACATTTTTATCAAAACACCATTGCAGGAAGACACATGCCCACACTGAGACATGCGTGGTGTGGGACACAACGCCTAGGGAGTCTTTATAAATAATTACTGAAAACTAGCACCCTACGTGGGTTTCCCGGTGGCTTGGCAGTTAAGAATCCACTTGTAAATGCAGGAGACGTTGGTTCGATCCCTGGGGTCAGGAAGATCCCCTGGAGAAAGAAACGGCAACCCACCCCAGTATACTTGGCTGGAGAAGGCCATGGACAGAGGAGCCTGGTGGGCTAGAGTCCATATGGTCACAAAACAGTTGGACATTACTGACTTAAAACAACACCCTACCTGCCTATCAGTGGTCCATCCAGACAACAGCAATAGCCCCGAATAACGAAAAGGAACAGGCCACTGACAACAGGAACCTCCAAGGCCTTCTGCTGAGTTGCAGAGGCTGGCTAGCTACTCCCTTCCATATGCTGCACAGACAGGCAGAGACAGCACACCAACTGTCGCCAGAGGCTGCGATTTGGGGCAGGGGCCGGGTTCCCAGTGGCACCCGAGAACTTCCTGGGGTGGTGGAAAGCGCTATGCCTTGATTGTGGTGGTGGTTACACAACCATATGGCAGTGGTCAGAATTCATGGAACCATATGTCTTAAAAAGGTTAATTTCCTAAATTATATCTCAAAGACCAGACTTGAAAAATGCTTTTGTGCATTTCAAAAAGCCACTGTGAACCACAAAACAACTGCCTGCTTCCTTTCAAGTGTTTTTGTTGTGACCTCAAGGGCCAACCACATAGGGAGAGATTCCTTTTTCATTCTGGCTTAGTCAAACCAAGCTGCCCTAATGAAATGCCATAGACTGCTGGCTTACACAACAGAAATTTATCTTCTCACAGTGCTGGAGGCTGGAAGTCCAAGATCCAGGTGGCAGCTGACCCAGTTCCTGGGGAGGCCCCTCTTACAGGTTTGCAGACCATTGCCTTCACACTGTGGCCTCGCATGGCCTCCCTGTGGATTCAGGTAGTGAGTGAGACATCCCTGCCCCTTGTGACCTCATTTAGCCATAATTCTTTCCCGGCATGCATGCTAACCAAGCTAACTGGCTTCAGTTGTGACCAACTCTCTGCAGCCGTATGGACTGTACCGCACCAGGCTCCTCTGTCCATGGGAGTTTCCAGGAAAGAATACTGGAGTGGGTTGCCATGCCCTCCTCCAGGGGATCTTCCGGACCCAAGGATGGAACCGGGTCTCATATCTCCTGCGTTGGCAGCTGGCATCTTTACCATTATCACCACTTAAGAAGCTCATTCTTTTCTTAGTGTCACCATCAAAAACCAGCCATGCTCGGGGCTAGGGTTCCAACATGTGAATTCTGCGTCCATAATAAATACCTGGGGGACAGGACACTCCGGTGCCCCCGAGGCCGCAGTACCCGTCGGGTTCTTGCTCAGGTACTGCTGGTGGTAATCCTCCGCGTAGTAAAAGGTCTGTCCCTCCCGGATGTCCGTGGTGATCAGGCCGAAACCATGTTCCGACAGAACCTGTGGAGAGAAAGGCGCCATCAGGACCAGATGCCGGGCATCCTGGGAAGGAGGAGGGGCGGGGTCGGCCGGGAGGGGCAGACACGTGGCCGCAGGCCGGAGGGGGTGAGCAGTGGTACTTGGGGCCTGCGCTCGGCCACTTCCCGCTGGGTTATCCTGAGCAAGCATCTCCCTCCCTGTGCCTCGGGGGTCTGGGGTTTCAAATCTGAGGTTTAATTTGTTTGTGTTCTGATTCTGTAATCTACACTCTATCCTCTACACTAGCTCTGCCCCCAGGGTGTCGCTGATTAAGAAATAGACATTGTTCCCCGTGGATCTCCGCCTGTTTCCTCTGCCTTCTGGATTTCAGCTGTGCCCTAGTTCTTTCTTGGTACAGGCTGCTCAGGGTCTCTGAGCTCAAGGCCACAGAGATGCGACCTGGGTTCACACATTCCATTTTGGACGCGGGTGCGAGGTGGGCCCTGGGACTCTCGTCTCATTAAGGGACCTGCTGTTACTGATAGCCTGTGGGCTCCTGGGGATGAAATCCTGTCTGTCAGGGAGGGCGGTGGGTCTAGTCTTTGAGTTCAGTGTGAATCCACTGTCTGACCATCTGCTGAACCTGCTATGACTTTCTGAATTTCCTTCCAGCCCACTGAGGGGGACGCGAGGGGATGGCTCCAAAACCTCAGGCCCAAGTGTTTAGGAAGATGACCTTGAGCAGAGAAATTCAAGAGGGTCCCAGAAGGAAGTTCCACTCAGAAAATTGACGTGAGGCTACTTTCATGGCAGGATGGAAGGCTGCGGGCATCATAAAGTGTTCTGATGAAGGAGGGCATTTCAGACACCCACTGTAGCCGTCAGCCACAGGACGAGAACAGGAATCCTTGCTGTTGGAGTCCAGTGAGGAGGGCAGGTATGGAGGGGAGATTCCGGCAGGAACCAGGTCAAGGAGGAACCCTGCCCCTGGGAGCAAGGGGCCCCAATGGAAAGGGATAGGGAGGAAGTCCCCCAGTCCCCTCCTGCCTGCTTCCTGCCTCTGTGAGTGCCTCCCACTGCCCAGGGCGAGCCATGTGACATTCAGGGACGCCCCCCCCCACCCACCCAGGTGACCAGTCTGGAGGCATCAGCCTCCTGGGACTCAGGGAAGGACAGCCAGCGGATTTGTAGTAGTGAAATGGGGACAGATGGAAAATAACTGCAGTATCATCCCGGTGTTCCCTCCCAGAGAACAGAACTGAAAGCTGTGAGCCGTCCTTATTTCAGGGCAGATAAAGATAGCCAACTGCCCAGGAAGGCTTTTCATGGCTTGGTGTTGGTCTCAGCCTATTGATAACCACGCCGTCAGCTAGGAATATGGGTGGCACTCATCCAGACCGTATTACTTGCAGCCAGCCTCCATGGACATCTCCTCCAGTGAGTGGCTGGATCAGCCTTTGTGGTTCTCGTTAGGATGGCAGGATATGCTTCAGCAAAAACCACTAGAGAACTTTAAAAAAAATATATTTATTTATGGCTGTGCTGGGTCTTCATTGCTGCGTGGGCTTTTCTCTAGTTGCAGCAGACGGGGGTTACTCTCTGGTTGAGATGCAAGGGCTTCTCATTGTGATGGCTTCTCTCATTGTGACGCACGGGCTCTAGGCACATGGGCTCATCGTTGTGGTTCCCGGGCTCTAGAGCGCAGGCTCAGTAGTTGTGATGCATGGGCTTAGTTGCTCTGAGGCATGTGGGATCTTCCCAGACCAAGAATCAAACCAATGTCTCCTGCATTGGCGGGCAGATTCTTTACCAATGAGCCACCAGGAAACCCCAACAGGGAACTTTGAGGAATAAGAGTTATTACTCCAAGTCCTGGAGTATACACAGCACACCTGAGGGGTCACAAAGCCAGGTTGCAGGGAGAGAGAGAAAGATGTAACAGACCTGGGGATCTTGCTTTCATTAGCATTGAGGGTTGGGTGTCTAGGGTCTCGCAGATTCATTCTTTATTGACTAATTTAAAGCATACGACCAGGAATTGGGGTGCAGGAAGGGAGAAGCAGGTCACTCAGGCAGTTATGTATGTTACCCAGGGCTTTCTGGAAAAGGGACCTTCATAGATGGTGACCTTCACGAACCTGATTCCTGATCTGGTTGTTTGGGTGATGGCTGAACCATCCAGCTGGCAATATGTGTATTCAGGATGGATGTCTTTTGAACTGGATGATTCAGCAACCAAAAACTTAAGATGTCAAGCACTTACGCGTGTGTTATATACTGTGCTTAGGACTTTGCAGGTGTTAGCTCATTTAATCCTCATAGCAACCACTGGAGGGAATTGTTCTTCCACTTTCCACATTTAGTTTATCAATGTGCCAGCTATTGTATCTTGATGCTCAGCTCCATCTCTGCCTTTCTAAACTTTCCCAAGAATTTTAGATGCTGAAAGCTGGTTCCATCGCTCAAAGTCCCAACAGGCTTCAGATTTAGATCCTCAGGCGAGTTTTAGAAGGCAGGAGGCCAGGAGAAACACTGTTTTACTTAGCAGCTGTACATAGGCATGAAGATTTCGGCAGAAGACAGTTGGGAGGTTTTGCCATTAAGTTAGGGTGTCCTTCCACAAATTGTTACTTTAATGCTGAGGAGAATCATAAGATGACTAGCAGTGAATTATCATTCTTGAGGCCTACTGAGCTTCACAAAGCAAGCAACTGTTTTTGTTGGTCTTTGCACTCAAGCCCTTTTAATGGTTCCATAAGCATCCATCCCTATGTACTAAATCCCTTTCAGCTTGAGATACATAGGTTATTTTCTGTTTTCCTGATAGAATCCTGACTGATACAGTTATTTGGTATTGAAAGTGGTTTCAGGAAATACAACTGCAAAGATGGGAATCTAAGATTTCTTGTCAGGCCTAATTTGATTTGAAGGGAATAATGACCTCTTTGCTGGTGAAAAATGGGATTCTGGGAGACCAGGGTATGCAATGTCAGAACGGTTTCTCAAATTATTCCCTGTCATTCTTAGAATCCTGTTAGAGGAGAACAAGTGACGTTTGCAATAGAATTTTCTGGTGGAAAAGATAAGTACAAGAGCTACTATTACCAAATACAGTGGAAAGTTTACAGGAAAAGCAATAACAATATTGGGGTTTTACATTTTCAAGTCAAAGGCATTATCCAGCAGCCAGAGAAGTTTCTACAACTGCCCTAAAGGGATCTCTCTATCTATTGCATCAAAAATTAGACCCAGGGTGGGTCCTGCAGGTGGCAGAATGACAACATAACTTGAATTCACAACTTCATTAGATCCATACATGAAAGGTGATTAATTGGGGAAGGAGGTGACCAATAAAATCACAGTGGAATGTTTGGATGGATTAAAATGAGTTAGTGTACTTTAAAACCTCAAATCTGGGAATTCCCTGACTATCCAGTGGTAAAGACTCCTTGGTGCCAGTGCGGAGGGTATAGACCCAATCCCTGGTTGGGGAGCTAAGATCCTGCATGCTGTGTGGTGCAGCCAAAAAGAATAAAAAAAATACCTCAAAACCCCACTGAACTTCCCTTCCTATTAGAAGCAGCCCTTCTACCCCATTCTTGGGAGGCTAGTCTCCTCTCCATGAAGACTTTGTAATGACTTAACTGAAATCACTTTCCTAGAAGATGCTGGGGACTTCCCAGGTGGTGCTGGTGGTAAAGAATACGCCTGCCAGTGCAGGAGACATGGGTTCGATCCCTGGGTCGGGAAGATTCCCTGGAGTAGCAAATGGCAACCCTTGCCTGGAAAATTCCATAGACAGAGGAGCCTGGCAGGCTATAATCCTTGGGGCTGCAGAAAACTGGACCCAATTGAGCAACTAACTACACATAGTACGCTATACCGGATTCTCCCCATGACCCACCCCTACCACCTCCTAGGGCAGTCAGAACCATAAGTAAAGTCATCCTGATACCTTTCATATGGGATCAGTTAAATCTGACCCAGGAGAAGATATCATCCACAATAACAGACCTACAACATTCTGCTGATGTAAATTTATAGACACTTGAGGATTTTGTGTGAGAAGAGATTCTAAAGGAGTTGTTTAGATGCTCAGTCATGTCCGACTCTTTTGTGACCCCAGACTGTCCATCAGGCTCCTCCGTCCTTGGGATTTTCCAGACAAGAATACTGGAATGGGTTGCCATTGCCTTACCCAGGGGATCTTCCTGCCCAGGAATCAAACCCATGTCTCTTGCATTAGCAGGTTGATTCTTTACCACCGAGCCATCAAGAAAGCCCTCTAAAAGAATTAGGCAAAGGATAAAGTAAGATATGATTGGACCAAATGTATCAGTCTGAGAGCACTTTAGAGAAAATCTGCATTCTAATGAGTAACCTGGCACAGCTAGAAGTAATTCTGTTTGTTTAGTTGACAGACTAAAACCCTGGATAAGAGATGGCCTACATTAAATGGAATTCTTTGTAAAATATAAAAGAAGGAATACAAAATCTTGGGTAGGAATGTCAGGATGAATTTAAGTGTGACCTGCTCACTGATCCTCTAACCCCATCCCTTAATTGAGTCACGAGGACACGGTGTTAAATTAGGCACTGAAAGTACAACTCCATATAGAGGATGAGCGCCCTCAGGGTACCCTGTTGTGGCCATTGTGCATAGGCTGAGGATGGTCAGACAGATAACCTATCTTGTGGAAGGTCAGTCGTACTTGACTTCTTCCCTTTTGGAGTAGGCAGTAATTTTTCATCATAGAAATAGGCGTTAATCTGTATATGGATGTGTCTGCCTTGCCCACAAAGTTTCTGCCACCTAACCACCCATAACTCACTAAAGGACTAGTTATTCATCACATGGCTTTCCACTTGGCACAACTTCTGATCAGTTGGTAATAACAGAACAGGAGTAAGGCCATGTGCTGATGTCCATGGGATTCACTGATTTTCACATCCCACTACCAAGCAGCACGAGCAATAGCCCCTGTGAGATTTGGGATCGCAGAGTCCATGTCCCTCTTCCAGGGTCTGATAGAGAAACCCTGGAATGCTTCATAGGTACTTGTGTAAGGATGGGTGGGGAGAAAGGAGGAGAAGAAGATAGTATGGATCTGAAGCTTAGTGACCTGATTTATCACCAGTAAACATGCTGGTAACCTGTACTTGAGACCCCCAAGCCGAACCATAAGGGGTACCACAGAACATGATGCAGGGAGCTTCTTCTCTGAGTTCCTGAGAAGGTGTAGACTTTCCCCTCCTTTTCTGTCTCTTCCTGGATCCATGGAAGAAATTGAGCCACAGACACAAACATACCAGGCCTCCCCCTGAAGCCAGATCGTATGCCCCAACTGAACACACCCACTTGGAAGAGCCTCTGGCTTCCGTGGACAGTACAGACCATAGGTGCCCCACTGTCTCCCTGAGAATGAGAAAAGAGAGAAGGAACAGTCTAGAGCAACGAACAGCACCTCTAACTAGAGTGCAGAGTGAGAGGGTCCTGGTGGCATGGGCCAGGGACGTGGTATCCAACCTTTTGGCACCAGGGACCAGTTTCATGGAAGAGTTTTCCCCTGGACCCAGTTGGGGGGGGGGTGGTTTGGTGATGATTCAAGCACATTACATTTATCATGCTGCCACTGATCTGATAGGAGATGGCGCTCAGGCAGTAATAAGAGCGATGGGGAGCAGCTGTGAATACAGATGGAGCTGGGCTCACTCACCCACAGCTCACCTCCTGTCCATGGCCCAGAGGTTGGGGACCCCTGGGCTAGGGCTTCCCTCCTAGTCTCCCTCCTGGGAACCCAGAATGTGGTGGGGCCTGTGGACATTGGAGCTGAGATGGGGGCTGAGTACCTGGCAGTTGCCTTTGGTGCCCAGTTCTTGCCAGGCACAAAGCATGTTCCTGGAGAGCTGGTCTACCCTCTGGCTGCATTCTCTCCAGGAAATCTGCACCACTCTCAGCTTCTGCAGGTATGTGTTGAAGTTGTCCTTTTGGTCTAGCAAAGTGAGGAAGCTAGAGTGAGGATGAGCCCTGCTCAACCACAGAGAGGGATGGGCCCACAAGTGATGAGGGTGGAGGCCCTGGAAAGGATGTAGACACTCGGGCCATCACAGACTTAGAGTGACCTAATGCAATGCCCACTCAGTCTCTTCTCCAGCATCTCCCAGGAGTGGTTTCTCCATCTCTGCTTATTTCTCTCCTTCCCATTGGGAAGCTCACTCCCTCCGGAAGCAGCCTACCAAACCCTCACCCCAGCCTCTGCCTGGTGAATATGGAATGAGCTTTCTCAGTAACCCCACCATCTCTCCTCATAGCCAGGCTTTGCCTTGTGCAGAGGTTCATAACAGCCTAACTTCTGTATCCATCTCTGCTAGGCCAGTGGAGAAGCCAGGAGGATGGCATGCCTAAAGGTGCCATCTCGAAGGAAAGAAACAACCTGGCTCCAAGAGGATCCCACTCATTCCTTTCCCACATCCCTGTCTGGTCGCCCCGGATGTGATGGATGACTGTGCTTGGTTGGGGAATCACTGTCTCAGAGTCATCTCAGGATGGTGGTTTAGTGAAAATATTGTCACTCAGTCATGTCCAACTCTTTGCAACTGCATGGAGCCCACCAGGCTCCTCTGTTCATGGGATTCTTCAGGCAAGAATACTGGAGTGGGTTTCCATTCCCTCCTCCAGGGGATCTTCCCGACCCAGGGATCGAACTCACATCTCCTTTGTCCCCTGCATTGGCAGGTGGATTCTTTACCATCTGAGCCACGAGGGAGGTCTACATGAGCTTCATCTGATGATAAACATTTGGGGAGATGTGACTATAAAACAACCTAGGAGGGAAAAATCCAAACTTTCTTTCTACAGTGCTTCTGGGCTCCAAAAGAAATTACCATCACTCCCATGTATTTAGGTTCGTCTGTGTTCCAGGCTTCTTTTGATGGTAAGGACCTTACATGTTTAATCTCACTTAATTTAATCCACACAGCTTATTTGAAGGCTGAAGTATCGTCATTCTACAGATGAGAAAACGTGAAAGAAAATAACCTGGGGGAGTTAGGTGGTTGGAATCACAAAGCGAGAGTGATGAGGCCAAAATTCAGACCTGAGTCTTCCAAAGCATCATGCCGTTTAGCCCGGGGCTAGACATTTAGGCATTATGCCTAAATGTGAGCTTTTTCTGGGTTCGGAAGGGAAGGTACATACCATACGAAGGAGCCGTCACCCACTCTGTCATCCAGCACCGGTTCCAGGTCTTCTCCTTCTTCTGCAGGCAGATGGGCATTTTGAAGCTATTGAATTGTATCGGTGTGGCAAGCAGCAAGAGGGAGAGGTCGCTGTCCAGGTGAGGTGGTTCATAATCTTTGTGAATAATTATCTTCTGCACTTGCTTTCTCTCCAGGTGGGAGTCCTTGAGTATTCTGGATCCCATGACCACAGTGATATTTTCCAAGGTCATTTCTAACCTAAAGAATGAATATAATAACTACAAACTACAATATAATAATAGTCACGTTGCATTTCTCACTTGCAGACACATTTATAAACAATCGGCCTTCCCTGGTGGCCCTGACGGTAAAGAATCTGCCTGCAATGCAGGAGACCCACGTTCCATCCCCCTGGGTCAGGAAGATTCCCCTGGAGAAGGAAATGTCTATCCACTCCAGTATTCTTGCCTGGAGAATTCCATGGATGGAGAAGCCCTGTGGGCTACAGTCCATGGGGTCGCAAAGAGTCAAACACAACTGAGTGACTAACACTTTAACACTTTGTAAACAGTAGAGTTTGCAGTTGAATACTGAGAAGTCCAAAGCATTGGGTGTACAGTGGCCAAAGAGTGGCTAGAGATCAGAGTGGCAGAAGTCAGGGGTCTAAACTCAAGCAAAACTCTGAGCTAGTGAACAGTCAGCTCAAGGGGACTTTCCCATGGAAGACAGTAGGGGTGAATCCACCCAAGAAACTAGACTGTGAACTCCTTGACAACTGGAGACTTGACTGTCTTGCGGACCACCATATTGTCATCACTTAAAGCAGCATGTGGTCACCTGTATGTATACAATGAGTGAATACAGTGCATGGTCTCCAGCGTGAGGGCAGGCCGGGGAAGGGAAGCTTTGTACTGATTTCCCAATACTGGAAGCATAGTCACAACTAGCAGCCAACGTTGGGCTATGGTTAACTTGAGAGAATAGGTATAGAGCAGATACCTTTCGGTACAAATCCAGTGGGAACACACTTGGGGTGGAGCCCATGGCTTCACAAGTGCCATGTAGTAACCCAGTAAGCTACCCAGCCCAGACAATGCATGGAGGAAACCTGACATAAAGTAAGACAATGCCTCAGAAACTTACAGGGTTCTTGGGAAGCAATGTGCGGCTGTCAGAACCCACCACCGATGTATGATTGAGCCTCCACAGAGGTGTTTCCGCGAGACCTGGATACTCACTTGCCATGGGAACTCACCATCCTGGACGTTCAATAGTTCGTGAGCTTGCATCACGGTTGAGTTTGAAAATTTGGGTCTGTAGCCACAGTGAACTTCATCTGAAAGGGAAAAAGAAGAGTGCTTGGTCCAGGAGAAGCACTGAGAAATCCTTATCGCATGTTCCCAGCAGAGACTGCTATGATAAAACTGAGCGAAGTGGGCTGGTGCAGAGGGGACAGACCTCAGACAACTCCAGTCAAACACACCCCCATACTCTTTGTCCCTCACATTCAAGAGGAACTGTGAGATCTGGGAAGGTCAGGGCGGCGATGCAGCAGCAGCATCTGTAAAGTCGTTGGGAGGGCAGCAGAGAAGTGCAAAGATGTGCAGGGTCCATTCAGGAGACAGAAACTGTGCAGGGCTGGAACAGGAAAAGCTTGTGATCAAGAATTACATCACTCCTTCTCGGAGACATGCAAATCAAAACCACAGTGAGGTACTATCTCATGCCAATCAAAAAGTCTACAAACAGTAAATGCTGGGGAGGGTGCGGAGAAAAGGGAACCCTCTTACACTGTCGGTGGGAATGCAAACTAGTACAGCCACTATGGAGAACAGTGTGGAGATTCCTTAAAAAATTGGAAATAGAACTGCCATATGACCCAGCAATCCCACTGCTGAGCATACACACCGAGGAAACCAGATTTTAAAGAGATTCGTGTACCCCAGTGTTTGTTGCAGCACTGTTTATAATAGCTAGGACATGGAAGCAACCTAGATGCCCATCGGCAAAGGAATGGATAAGGAAGTTGTGGTACATATACACAATGGAGTATTACCCAGCCGTTAAAAAGAATACATTTGAGTCAGCTCTGATGAGGTGGATAAAACTGGAGCCTATTATACAGAGTGAAGTAAGTTAGAAAGAAAAACACCAATACAGCATATTAATGCATATATATGGAATTTAGAAAGATGGTAACGACGACGCTATATGCGAGACAGCAAAAGAGACACAGACGTAAAGAACAGACTTTTGGACTCTGTGGGAGAATGTGAGGGCGGGATGATTTGAGAGAATAGCATTGAAACATGTATATTACCATATGTGAAATAGATGACCAGTTCAAGTTCAATGCATGAAATAGGGCACTCAAAGCCAGTGCACTGGGACAACCCAGAGGGATGGAGAGGGAGTGGGGAGGGGGGTTCATGATGGGGGAGACATGCACACCCATGACTGATTGATGTCAATGTATGGCAAAAACCACCACAATATTGTAAAGTAATTAGCCTCCAATTAAAATAATTAATTAAAAATAAAGAAAAAAAAAATAAAGAATTCTAAACGAGGGACTTCCCTGGCAGTCCACTGGTTAAGACTTCACTTTCCAGTGCAGGAAGGTGCAGGCTTGACCCCTGATTGGGAAGCTAAGGTCCCACATATCTCATGGCCAAAAAATCAAAACATGAAACAGAAACAGTATTGTAACAAATTCAATAAAGATTTTTTAAATATTCCACATTAAAAAAATCTTACAAAAAAAAAGAGTTATAAAGGATAACAGGGGAGTAACTATTTAATACAAGGGGTCTAGAGGACTCCAAGAATACCCCAGGGTTAGGGAAGAAAAGAAGGACCACACTGGCAGGGGAGTTCCTCCCCCAGGTTGGGATTCAGAATTCACTGGAGAACATATGTTTGCCGCACAAGGGAAGAGAGAAGTTTGCTGGTCTGCATTGCTACCCATAGATGTTTTCCAGGTGGTGCTAGAGGTAAAGAATCTGCCTGCCAATGCAGGAGATGAAAGAGACATAGGTCCAATCCCTGGGTCGGGAAGATCTCCTGGAGTAGGAAATGGCTACCCACTCCAGTATTCTTGCCTGGAGAATCCCATGGACAGAGGAGCCTGGCAGGCTACTCCATGGGGTTGCAAACAGTCAGACACGACTGAAGCTTAGCACTGAACTGAACTGATTGCTGTCCATGCAGGAAACACCTCTCCAGAGAGCAGCTGGGCTAGAGCACCCTTCCTGGGTGCAGGTGGACTGGTGGTTGGGGGGCAGGTAAGTGGAAGGAGGTTAGGTATGATATGTACATATTGTTTTGTAAAAAGCTATTTAGACATTAAAGCTGATAATTCTTTAGCTGAAAAAATACTATAAGGACTTTACCCAATTTGTCATTTCTTTTGTCTTTGACGTTCAGGAAATTAAAATTTGTTGCTGAATCAAAACTGTTTCTTTATGATTTTTCCCTTTTGTGCTTAGAAATTCATTCCTTTTGCTAAAAAGTTATTCAGTTCAGTCACTCAGTCATGTCTGACTCTTTGCGACCCCATGGACTGCAGCACGCCAGGCCTCCCTGTCCATCACCAACTCCCAGAGCTTACTCAAACTCATGTCCATTGAGTTGGTGATGCCACCCAACCATCTCATCCTCTGTCATCCACTTCTCCTCTTTCCTTCAGTCCTTCCCAGCATCAAGGAGCTTTTCTCTAGGGATTCTGTCCATGTCCATCTGCCATGATTGCCTTTACATGGCACAAGAACATCAGTTATCTCTGGAGTCCCTCCTCAGCCAATTCAGCTGTATCCTTTGCTCTAACCCTTCTCATCAATACCCAGGAGTCATCTGTGGTTGATTCAGGATAAATATTTCTTATCTCTTGCCCCTAATTTTCACATTGCCTCCAAATTTTGGAATCCAGACATGAACTATTACTAAGCCACAAAAAAAGAACAAACTAATACCATTTGCAGCAACATGGGTGGACCTAGAGACGGGCGTACTGCGTGAAGTACGTCAGACACAGAACAAGTGCGATATAGTATCGCTTATACGTAAAATCTTTAAAAATGGGTAAAAATGAACTTATTCACACACAAAAAACCAGGAACAGAATCACAGATGTAGAAAGCAAACTCACGGCTACCAGGGATAGGAGGAGAGGGGCATAAATTGCGAGCCTGGGACTGACATAGCCACACTACTATATAGAAAATAGATGACTGGTGAGAACCTACTGTATGGCACAGGGAACTCTGCTCAATACTTTGCAATGACCTATATGGGAGTAGTATTAGTGGCTCAGCTGTGTCCGACTCTCTGTGACCCCATGGACTGTAGCCTGCCAGGCTCCTCTGTCCATGGGATTCTCCAGGCAAGAATTCGGGAGTGGGTAGACATTTCCTTCTTCAGGGGATCTTCCCGACCCAGGGATTAACCCAGGTCTCCTGCATTGCAGGCAGGCCCTTTACCATCTGAGCCACCAGGGAAACTTTCTCAGAAATTGTCCCAATAGAATCTTTTTTTTTTTAAGTGGATGTCTGTATATGTGTGACTGATTCACTTTTCTGTACACCTGAAACTCAGTTCAGTTCAGTTCAGTCGCTCAGTCATGTCCGACTCTTTGCGACCCCATGAGCCACAGCACTCCAGGCCTCCCTGTCCATCATCAACTCCTGGAGTTTACCCCAACTCATGTCCAATGAGTCGGTGATGCCATCTAACCATATCATCCTTTGTTGTCCCCTTCTCCTCCTGCCTTCAATCTTTCCGAACATCAGGGTCTTTTCAAATGAGTCAGCTCTTCGCATCAGGTGGCCAAAATATTGAAGTTTCAGCTTCAACATCAGTCCTTCCAATGAACACCCAGGACTGATTGCCTTTAAGATGGACTGGTTGGATCTCCCTGCAGTCCAAGGGACTCTCAAGAGTCTCCTCCAACACCACAGTTCAAAAGCATCAATTCTTCAGTGCTCGGCTTTTATAGTCCAACTCTCATCTATACATGACCATTGGAAAAACCATAGCCTTGACTAGATGGACCTTTGTTGATAAAGTAATGCCTCTGCTTTCTAATGTGCTGTCTAGGTTGGTCATAACTTTCCTTTCAAGGTGTAAGCATCTTTCAATTTCATGGCTGCAATCACCATCTGCAGTGATTTTGGAGCCCCAGAAAATAAAGTCAGCCACTGTTTCCACTGTTTCCCCGTCTATTTGCTGTGAAGTGATGGGACCAGATGCCATGATCTTAGTTTTCTGAATGTTGAGCTTTAAGCCAAATTTTTCATTCTCCTCTTTCACTTTCATCAAGAGGCTCTTTAGTTCTTATTCACTTTCTGAAACTAACACATTGTAAATCAATTATACTCCAGTAATTTCTTTTTAAACCGCAAAAAATTAAAATAATCAGAGTGAAGAGTCCCTTTCCCTCACCTCTGCTCTTGGTCTCCTTTTTTTCCTCCCCACCATCTCCTCTACCTCCTGAGAACTTCTCAAATTCTCAGGTGAACACACACATTCGGATACACACTTCCCTTGTGCTCTGAAGGGCATTTAGCATGAATATGTGGCAGTGTCTCAGCACAGTTCTTGCAGATGCCCCGTGCTTATTTCAGTTTTGCTTCTTAAAGTTAATACTCAGTAGTAGGCATCCTTCTAGATACTCTGGCTGCCTCAGTTATAGCATTTGAGACAAATGTTTGTTCTTAAGAGATTTAAACTAAATCAGAGTTCAGTGCTTGAATCCTTCATCCAGATTTTACCTATGAAATCTGCGTTTGTTGCCACCATACTTAAGAACATATCAGGTCAGTGGTTGCAATGGTTGAATTAATTTAATATTTCGGTCAAAGACAAATGAGAACTCTACAACTAGGAGCACTTGAACAAATGATCATCATTCACTTCATGTCGAAGGCTGACAAAATGTTCAAAACTAAATGAATATAGTTTGCTGAGTACACTGAGTGTATGACAATAAATTAGTAGATATTTATTTTAGGAGATGTCACTTTCCAGAAACTGGCCCTTTTTTTTTTTTTTAACTCCCGCTCCACTGTCAGAATATCACACTTCCCTTCAAGTCAGTTGTTTTGTTCTTTTTTTTTTAATTTCTCATTTTTTAAAAGAGGTTTTTGACATGGACCTTTTTTAAGTTTTTATTGAATTTATTACAGGATTGCTGCCATTTAATATTTTGGTTTTTTGGTTACAAGGCATGTGGGATTTTAGCTCCCTGACCAGGAATCGAACCTTCACCCCCGTGCTAGTACCTCGCAGCTAGTGAGGGCTGGGCCAGGCGTTCCGGTTCTAGAATCACTGAAAGCAGTGACATTGGCCTTCAGAGTTGCTTCTCAGGACACAGCCCTTTGTGCCTTTGTGTGTTGTTCTAACACACACCTTATGTATCTTCCTTAGGCTAGACTCCATGGGAGCCCACTGGTTCTCTAGTGCCTTATGAGCATGCAATCCTCAGGGAGTTTGCCAGCAAGGATTTCCTTTGGATATACGTCTTCCATGATACTGCAGCCTGAAACCCATCCCTAGTTGTTTTCAAGCCCTGGATGAACGCTCTGTATTCGAGTTCCTTTATACAGACACTCATTTATCACAGCTACACCACCGTTCTGCCAGATGACTCCGCCTCTTCTTAATATATTTAGGTATTTTCAATAAAACACAGCAGTTCCAAATAACATTGGGTTTATGGTTTAAGTTTTAAGACGTGATATTCCTGTTGCTTTGTTGGCATTGTCAAATAACTTTAAAATGAGTTGGAGGAGAGACGGCTTGTAAATACATTCACACACACACACTCACTCTGCACATACACACACCCATCCCTGATGTATGCTGACATTAACCAAACTAAAACTTTTAAAGGAAAAAAAAAAATCATTATGCTGAAATGAGAAGAGCTGAAACTCATGCAGCAAACTTTGAAGATTTTCAGACTATGGCATTATAGTTTTATCAGAGTGAAAGAAGACACTGAGAAATAACAGACACAGCCTATTCTAGAGTTCTTCACAGTGCAAAAGATTGTAAACAAAGTGGAAAATAAAAAAGTCTATGGAGTCCCACACTAGTCACAGCTCAAAGGACAAAAGCCCGTGGCCTGGGAAGGAGAAGGGGAAGACAGGGGGCTGCTTCTTTTGAGCCACTTGACCTCTACTGAAACGGGCTGGAGTCAACCAGCCGTGTGAAGCTTCTCCACCCCCAACACCACCCCCACCCTTTGACATGGCTTCTTAATGGTTCTGTTCTTCCAGAACTCTGGTCCAGACCTGTGGGATCGTTTTAACTGGCATATTCACTGAGGCCAACCCATCTACTTTGATTCATCACTGTAATCTCCTCATTTCCTGAGCCACTTGCTCCAATCCTGCACCCCCTCTGGCCTCTAAATCAGCTCTGCAGGAGCCGGGTAAGAGGATGCAGGTGTCCGCCCACCCTCTGCTCTGGCTCGGCTTGGCACAGACCTGAAGCTTCCTGGGCATGTCCCTTGAGTGCCATGAGCAGTGGAATTAGCAGCTGGAGCATTTTCTTTTCATTGCAGTCCAAAATTTCCCAACCTGGGCCCCGAACCAAAGCTGACACAATGCCAGCCGTGGCTGCTTCAGTGGCAGCCATCAGAAAGGCATGGCAGGGCTGGTCCTGGGTGATGTCACAGTAAGCCTGGGGTCAGGGAGAAGGCAGGGGATGTGGGGCAGCCAGGCTCAGGGGCATCCGCACAGCCCACTCCCTACCCGTCTGCCTTCTCTCTGCAGCAGGGACTAGGGGGACACCTTATCAAGCGCACTTATCTGCACCCACTGTCCCACCCACGACTGTGAGTCTCTTGAGGAGGCATGTATTCTAGTGTCTGCTTGAGCATTAAAGGTCTCTGGGTCTTTGGGTGAGTTTTCATATTCTCTGGAAGCAGATCTCAAAGCCTGCTATGGTAACCAAACCCATGTCTGGCTGCTCGCCGCTCAAAAGCCAATAAAGGGGCCAGGCAGGTGGAAAGGAAAGTTTGCTTTATTTTGGAGGCTGGCAACCTGGGGAGAGGGCAGACATCTGTCTAAAGGCTAACCTACCCCATCCCACCCCCCGCCCTACACACGCACACAAGACCATGGGGGCAAGAGCTTTTGTAGTCAGAGGGACGGGGCTACATGCAGAAACAGCACTTTAATATATTTAGGTATTTTCGATAAAACACAGCAGTTCCAAATAACATTGGGTTTATGGTTTAAGTTTTAAGACGTGATATTCCTGTTGCTTTGTTGGCATTGTCAAATAACTTTAAAATGAGTTGGAGGAAAGACGGCTTGTAAATACATTCACACACACACACACTCACTCTGCACACACACACCCGTCCCTGATGTACGCTGACATTAACCAAACTAAAACTTTTAAAGGAAGAAAAAAATCATTATGCTGAAATGAGAAGAACTGAAACTCATGCAGCAAACTTTGAGGATTTTCAGACTATGGCATTATAGTTTTATCAGAGTGAAAGAAGACACTGAGAAATAACAGACAGCCTATTCTAGAGTTCTTCACAGTGCAAAAGATTGTAAACAAAGTGGAAAATAAAAAAGCCTATGGAGTCCCACACTAGTCACAGCTCAAAGGACAAAAGCCCGTGGCCTGGGAAGGAGAAGGGGAAGACAGGGGGCTGCTTCTTTTGAGCCACTTGACCTCTACTGAAACGGGCTGGAGTCAACCAGCCGTGTGAAGCTTCTCCACCCCCAACACCACCCCCACCCTTTGACATGGCTTCTTAATGGTTCTGTTCTTCCAGAACTCTGGTCCAGACCTGTGGGATCGTTTTAACTGGCATATTCACTGAGGCCAACCCATCTACTTTGATTCATCACTGTAATCTCCTCATTTCCTGAGCCACTTGCTCCAATCCTGCACCCCCTCTGGCCTCTAAATCAGCTCTGCAGGAGCCGGGTAAGAGGATGCAGGTGTCCGCCCACCCTCTGCTCTGGCTCGGCTTGGCACAGACCTGAAGCTTCCTGGGCATGTCCCTTGAGTGCCATGAGCAGTGGAATTAGCAGCTGGAGCATTTTCTTTTCATTGCAGTCCAAAATTTCCCAACCTGGGCCCCGAACCAAAGCTGACACAATGCCAGCCGTGGCTGCTTCAGTGGCAGCCATCAGAAAGGCATGGCAGGGCTGGTCCTGGGTGATGTCACAGTAAGCCTGGGGTCAGGGAGAAGGCAGGGGATGTGGGGCAGCCAGGCTCAGGGGCATCCGCACAGCCCACTCCCTACCCGTCTGCCTTCTCTCTGCAGCAGGGACTAGGGGGACACCTTATCAAGCGCACTTATCTGCACCCACTGTCCCACCCACGACTGTGAGTCTCTTGAGGAGGCATGTATTCTAGTGTCTGCTTGAGCATTAAAGGTCTCTGGGTCTTTGGGTGAGTTTTCATATTCTCTGGAAGCAGATCTCAAAGCCTGCTATGGTAACCAAACCCATGTCTGGCTGCTCGCCGCTCAAAAGCCAATAAAGGGGCCAGGCAGGTGGAAAGGAAAGTTTGCTTTATTTTGGAGGCTGGCAACCTGGGGAGAGGGCAGACATCTGTCTAAAGGCTAACCTACCCCATCCCACCCCCCGCCCTACACACGCACACAAGACCATGGGGGCAAGAGCTTTTGTAGTCAGAGGGACGGGGCTACATGCAGAAACAGCACCGTCAGCTCTGGTAGTCAACTTGAAATTGGCCATCAGAGGTCTGACCAGCATCATCTTGATTGTTTTTACTCAGTTACTCTTTAGTCCTAGGGTCAGTTTGCTCCCATTTCCCTAAGGCCAGTTCTCAGGACTGTGGCCGCTTCTGTCATGACTACTGTCTGGTCATCAGTAGTTAACTTCTCCCCCCGGTGGGGGTTTCAATTTCTATGCAACAGCTCGCAGGAGATGGTTCAGCACACTATCCATAGTCCTTGAGGAGGAACTGGAGGTCCTTGACTGTGCTTAGTCAGTACATTATTAATGTTATTTTATCTCTTTTGAGGTCCTTGACTGTGCTTAGTCACTACATTATTAACAGTCTTTCATCTCTTTTGACTATTTTCCTTTGTTTCTGCAAGTTCACACGTCACTGATTAAACTTATTCTTTGGCTAAAGTTTTTCCACAGAAAAAGAAGCCGGGCATGGGGAACAAATTCTATACAGTTTGTCTCAATTCATATAGTACTTGGAGTCAGTGCAGACCCCACAGGTCTTGCAAGACTCAACCCCACAAGACCACCCCCACTTCAGATGCCAGTTGCAAGTCTAGGTTGTGAGAAATGGAATATTCCCTGCCATATCAGTGAACAAAGGATGTCACAGTTATTGGTCATTGTAACCACAGCCTACTAAGGTGAGCTGGTGAGCCTTGAGGTAACTCAGGAAGGAAAAGAATATCTGCCATCTAGTAGCCTTGAGGCTGCAGCCACTCCCTACAGTGAGCCCTGAGGAAATCTAGGATAAGAAAACACAGGAAACTGGCTCCAGGTAGGTGAGATGCATATGAAGTGAATGATTACAGTGAGCCCAGACTCTTGCATCTTTCCATACATAGAAAAAATGCCAAATTCCTTAATTTGAGATAGCTGGTTATCTTTAATTAGCAACCACCTTTTGATGTTCAGGCTACCTGCCCTTTGTTACAAAACTATTATATCCTGGCTCCCCCCTCGCCTCCTCAGAGCAGTTCTCTCGGGTTACTTGAGATGCTGCCTCCTGCTTGCAGTACTAAAAATCTCCACCGAATAAAACATTACTCTCAACTTCTGGGTTCTGACGATTTTTTTTAAGTTCACCTCTTGTCACCTCTACTTCAAACTGACTGGCTACAAGTCAGATTCCCATGACCCCGTCCTCAGCTTTGATAATTTGCTAGAATTGCTCACAGAGTTCAGTGCTTTACTTATGATCACTAACTTATGAAAAGGTTCAGCTCTGGAACAGCCAAATGGGAGAGAGGCCTGAGCCAGTACTGGAGACGGGTGAAGAGCTGCCATGCCCTCCCAGCACCTGCATATGCTCACAACCCAGAAACCGTTCGAACCCCTTCAGTTAGGGTTTTCATGGTGGCTTCCTGACACAGGCATGACCTTACACAGGCATGATTGGTTAAATCATTGGCTATTGGTGATTAACGCAACCCCCAGCCCCTCTCCCCTCCCTGAAAGTCCGGGGCTGGGGTTGAAAGTTCCAAACCTCTAACCAGGGGGCTGGTCTGCCTGGCAACCAGCCCCCATCGTTAGGGGCTTTTCAAAAGTCACCTAACTGATGCAATAAGAGTGCATTTGAACCCACTTTATGACTTTAGGGAAAATGTAAACATAGTTTGAAATCTCTTTCTAAATACCTCAATGTAAACTGTGACAGGTAAGCAATGAAAGTAGATACTAAATGCAACATGTACCGTGTATCATTGGTTCATGGGCTTCCCTGGGGGCTCAGACAGTAAAGAATCTGCCTACAATGTGGGAGACCTGGGTTCGATCCCTGGGTTGGGAAGATCCCCTACAGGAGGGCATGACAACCCACTCTTGCCTGGAGAATTCCCATGAACAGAGGAGCCTGGTGGGATACAGCCCATGGGGTCACAAAGTCGGACACGGCTGAGCGCCTAAGCACAGCACATCATTGGTTCACACCGAGTTGTAACCACTATTACAAGAGTGTGATGCTCATTTTAGTAAGCTAGTCTCTTGAACTAAATATTTATTGAGAAATTATTGATTCATGATGATAGATCAATGAGTAAAACAAATTTACAGAAAAATAATCACCTCATTAACATAAACTCAGGTGGGGTTGAAAGGGGCTTGTTATGAATAACAAAAGCTCTTTTCACCTTTATCACTTTAGAGCTGTTTTAGAAGCCAGGAAAAAAGATAAAGCAAATACCAAAGCAAAGATGTTCTTATCATTCTGCTCACTTAGGAAATTAAAAAGGGTTTAGGAGCTCTGGTCAGAAGTCCGAATAAAGATCAGAACGTATATTTCTTCTTATATCAAAATATCACAAGTTTGCTCGTTACCTTCGAGGGTCCCCAATTATCTACAAGCCTTGCTCCCTCTTTCCTTCAGGTCTCTTCTGTCACCCTGTCCAGGAGACCTCCCCACTCCACTAAAATCAGCCCCTGTGGAACTTCCATGATGGTACAGTGGCTAAGACTCCATGTTCCCAATGCAGGGGGCCCGGGTTCGATCCCTGGTCCGGGAACTAGATCCTATATGACTCAACTAAGATCCTGCATGCTACAACTAAGACCTGGCACGGCCAAGTAAATTAAAAATAAAAAAATCAAAATGAAAACAACACCTGCGGTTTTCTCCAACCCCACTTCCTATGCTCTCTCCGCTTTCTTTAATTTTTTCCATAGCACTTGTGATCATCTGAGGTGGTCCCTTCTACTAGACTATAACATTAGTGAGAGCAAGAGATTTTTTTTTTTCATTTACTCCAATATCCCAGTTCTTGAGCAATGCTGTTGTAGCAGCCAAAGCGAAGATACAGTCACCCCAGCCAATCCTCATGTCAACTCTGACAGTTGTAAACCCCCCGTGTAGAGATGAGGGAAACTCTGAGAGGACAGCAGCTTGTCTAACGCCCTTTAGGGGCTTCCTTGTGGCTCAGATGGCAAAGCATCTGCCTGCAATGTTGGGGGCCTGGGTTCCATCCCTCAGTCGGGAAGGTCCCCTGGAGAAGGAAATGGCAACCCACTCCAGTATTCTTGCCTGGAGAATCCCATGGACAGAGGAGCCTGGTGGGCTACAGTCCATGGGGTCGCAGAGTCGGACACAACTGAGCGACTCAGCACAGCACAAGGCCTTTCAGAGAAGTGTAACATCAGGGGCTTCCCTGGTGATCCAGTGGCTAAAAATCTGCCTTTCAAGGCAGGGGATGGAGATTTGATCCCTAGTCAGGAAACTAAGATCCCACATGCCATGGGTCAAATAAGTCCTCCCACCACAACTAGACAAAGTCCTCGAGCAGCAATGAAGAGCCCACACAGCCAAAACAAATAAATAAAAATACAAATGCAACTTGCACATGGTTGACTTAGAGCATGAACGCCATCCCTATTTTTTTAAAAAAACGTTGGAAACAGGATTCAATTAGGTATGTCTGACTCTGGAATCCACACACAGACCACTTCTTAAATAATGCAGCATAATATAAGCAGGAGGACACCTTTCAGGAGCGGTCAGTCCCTTCATGAACATGTGTAGTGTGTGTGCACAGTCGTGTCCGACTCTTCGCAACCCCATGGACTGTGACCCACCAGGCTCCTCTGTCCATGGGGTTCTCCAGGCAAGAATACTGGAGTGGGTTGCCATTTCCTTCTCCAGGGGATCTTCCTGATCCAGAGATAGAACTCTTGTCTCTTGCATCGGCAGGCAGGTTCTTTACCACTGAGCCACCAGGGAAGTCCTGCATGAACACAAGAGGAGACCAAATACATCCCCCAAGGCGTCTGACTGTCGTCCTTGCTGGATGTCTGTGAGGCCTTTGCACCAACTCTGGAGCATGCACCAGGCGGCCCATGTCAGCAAGTATCTGCTTTCTTCTTGGGATTTCTACAGATCCCTTACATTCCTAAGTTTCTCTCCATACACAATGGGGCAGGCCGTGTTTGCCCAGTTCCAGCAGGGAGACATTCCCATCCGAGTCTACAGGAATGGCGGCTTCTGGGGTAGCAGCCATGCACGGCAGCCCTGGCCCCACTGGTCACCCTTTCCACTGACTCAGATGTGGTGGGAGCCACTGGTGTTGTGAAGAAGCTTGGCCAAAAACTGCTGGGCAGCGATGGAGTGTTTCGCAATAGATAGGGCTCAGTTTAGGGCAGGTGTGCCCATCTGGCCTCCCAGCAGAGAGACGGCCATGGCCCTCCAGTCTCCCAGCAGACGGGGGGCCCAGGCTCCATTTCCCTCCACACACTGCTCCAGGACCAGAGCAATCAGGAGGCGGGTAGCAGGTACGGGGCAGGGGGTTGTGGAGGGGGAGCACGGAGTCCAAAAGAAGAGCAGATGGAAGACGCAGAGCTTCCCAAGGCAAGGCCCAGGCCAGGTGGCCCAGTGTGCTCTGGGGATCTTTATCCATGTGCCAGGAAACAAAGGCTTAGCCCTTGGTCAAGGCAAGGCAGACGAGGTAGCAGGTGTTATTCAGCACCGGTGGGGAGGGCCACATTACAGGCCCCGCCCTCCCTTCAGCAAGGACAGCTGCATTCTGTAGAGCCGCTGCTCACAGAAGGCCCTGATCCCGGAGGAGGAGCAAGTCCCATGTCCTGGTATTTCTCCTCCCGGAGTAGCTGGGGCCACAGCCTTGGTGTAGTAAAGAGGTGCCCCACCCAAGGCGTATGATTTCGTCTTGAGATTCACAACAACTTTTTAAATGAGTTTTCTTTTATTTATTAAAATGCTTCTTCTATTTAATAACAACATGATGATTTTACCTTCCAGTTACAATTTATTTATTTGTTTGTTTATTTATTTTTGACAAGTGGGAGGCCATATGGACCTCACAAGTGGCACTAGTGGTAAAGAAACTGCCTGCCGATGCAGGAAACATAAGAGACGCGAGTTCGATCCTTGGGTCAGGAAGATCCCCTGGAGAAGGGCATGGCAACCGACTCCAATTCTTGCCTGGAGAATCTTATGGACAGAGGAGCCCAGCGGGCTAGTCTGTGGGGTCGCAAAGAGTTGGACACGACTGAAATGACTTAGCACACACACACACATAATAGTTTATACAGCTTCGCAGCAACTTTACTGTCTGGGCATCAGCATTCCTTTTCTGCAGAGGAGGAAACCCAGGGGACAAGACTGGGCAGGGTGGACACAGCAAGTCTAGAAAATGACCGGAGTTCACTTTGGGAACTGGATTAGCACATGATTCACGTCTAAACATCAGGCCTGGCCAGTGGTTAGGAAGGTGGTACTGAGGGTGCCTGGACAGAGTCCACCCAAGTCCGTGTACTGAAAGTGTCAAAAAAAAAAAAAGTAAGGTCCAGATCATACAGCTGAGCCGATAACATAAGCAAAGACTTGGGCTGGGCATGTCCACCTGTGAGTCTGATCTTTCCATCCTTAACAATGGATAGGGGCCTGTCTGGAGGTTTGGGGGCCACATGGAATGAACCCAGAGAGAGCGGGAAGGGGGACTGCTGCCTACTGGGCTGAGCGTGGGGGAGGCTGGGGCCTCTGAACCCAGCCCGTGGTCCATGCTGGTGGCCCAGGTCAGGGGCCTGAGCGGGGAACTCCGTGGGCACCTGGACTGCCCAGGGTTTGGGCGGCACAGACCTCAGGGTATCTCTGAGCACCTGCTTGAGTGCCTCCTGTTTCCAAGGGTGCAGCCGGCAGCCCCTGGTGCAGGCCTTCTGCTCACACTCACCATGGGGGCGGCAGGGGGGCGCAGAGCCTTAAAAACTGCCAGGTGTGACAGGGGCCACCCAGGCACCCCCCGCCCCGAGGATGTGAAGGGAGGGCTGTGCACACATCAGGAGGGGAAGCTCAGTCAAGGAGGCATCTAGAATGAGGCTCATCTCAGAAGTAGAGTGGCCAGAGGATAAGCCCGCGTGACTCGGCCTGGGTTCTCAGACCTGCTGCCCATTGTGACATCACTGGAGGGGGTGGCTCTGACCCGGAGGCCTTGACGGCGTCATTTCCCTCAGCCCTGGCCTCTGTCGCCTCCAGGCCGACAGCCACGCCCAGGGCCATGCTCCTGTGGTCCCTTTTGCTGCTCATGTCCCAGGCCAGGGACGCACACCTCGGTATGTGGACACCTGCCCGGGGGCCTGAACGCCCCTCCAAGTGGGGCTGGCTGTGACTGCTCCCTCCCGTCCATCCTGCCGGGAGCCCGAGGGACAAAGGGACAGCTCTTATTGTCCTTTAGTGTGTGTCTGACTCTTTGTGACCCCGTGGACTGTAGCCCGCCAGGCTCTTCTGTCCCTGGGATTCTCCAGCCAAGAATACCCACTGGAGTGGGTTGCCATTTCCTTCTCCAGGGGATCTTCCCAACCCAGGATCGAACCCGGGTCTCCTGCATTGCAGGCAGATTCTTTACCACTGAGCAACCTGGGAAGCCCAAGGAGCAGCTCAGAAATAAGCTAATGGCCACTAAGAGGCCAGCTCCCAAGAGCAGTGGCTTCTGTACCCCACACGCCCCTCCTGGAAACCACATCCCTTGCTCCTTGTCTTGTGCCAGCCCCAAGTTGCAGCTTGAGAACTCTTAGTTGTGGTGTGTGGGAGCTAGTTCCCTGACCAGGGATTGAACCCCAATCCCTCTGCATTGGGAACGCCTGGGAAGTCCCACAAATGCTTTATCTTAGAGTTCTGTAGGACTTCCACATGGGCCTCACTGATCTAAGATCAGGGTGTCAGCAGGACTGTGCTTCTACTGGAAGCTTTAGAAGGAGTGTATTAACTGGGGTTTTCTGACTTCTAGAAGTCATCAGTATCCCTTGGCTTGTGGCCCCTTCCTTCATCTTCAAAGCCAGCAATATTGCACCTCTCCAAGCCTTTCTTCTATAGTCACATCCCTCTCCTTCTGCTGTCCTCCACCATCCTTAGGGGCCAGTGTGACTACAGTGGGCCTACTCAGGTTATCCAAGACACTCTCCCCATTTTAAGATCAGATGATTAGCAACTTTCATTCCACCTTCAAAGTCCCCTTTGCCTCATAAGACAACATATTCATGAGTTCCAAATCATGGTCCATTAGGACATGGACATCTTTTGAGAGGGAGGCATTATTCTGCCAAGCACTACAGGTTGGTCTGGGCAGGAATTCCCTCTGATTTCTCCTGGATGAAAGCAGAAACTAGCATGGTAAAGTGACTTGCTTATCTGGAAGGGAGACAGAGTCAACACTTTTGATCATGTCGCAGACTCTGGGAAACAAATGTGAAGCCTCTGTTGGCTTACTCGTGTTTCTAAGGTGCTTCACTGGGCCAGCCTCAGTTTCCCCATTTCTAGAATGGGTATAATGATAGCTACTTATGGATCTCCTATAGGTATTGACTAAGTGTTGCATCTTTTGCCCTCCTTTCTCTCATTTTACCAGAATGTGGTGAAAGACCCACGTTTGCAAGAGGAGCTCAGTATTCCAGAATCACAGGAGGGATAGAGGCTGGGGTGGGTGAGTTTCCATGGCAGGTGAGTGTTCAGGCAAGAAATGAACATGTCTGTGGTGGCGCCATCCTCAACGAGTGGTGGATTATCACGGCGGCTCACTGCTTTTACCCTGAGCAGTTACCGTAAGTACTGAGTTCATCCCATCTCTTCTGACAGTGTGTGCCCCCAGGGCACCCCACACTCAGCCAAGCCCGATTGCCCAGGGGAGTTATGGAGTTGCTGCATTCCGAATCAGACTTTACCACCCACTATCTTCCACCCTGGGGATTGGTCTGTCTACCTCTCCTGTGACATTCAAGTCCTTTTCGGTGGAAGTTCTCCAAATTCTGGAGGTCTTGGTTCCTAGGCCATCTGACACCTGACTTCCCTGCCCTATGTAGAGTTTTCTCTGCATTCCAGGAGACTGGTGGAAAATAGAGCATTTAGTGATTACAAATCATGTCCTAGGAAACCATGTGCATTAACCGATTTAATTATATATACACCAACCCTGAGGAAGGCAGAATGAATTGCTCCCTTTGAACTCATTTGATCTTACAACAACCCTGGGGCAGCTTAAATGAACATCTTTATCTTATAGGGAAGGAAACTGAAGCCCAGTAAGGTTGGATGATTCACCCAAGGTACACATCTAGCAGACGAGAAATAGCGTTTAAAGCCACTTCTAGCACTTGTACTTTTCTGCTCCACCATCTCATGAAAGATTGAAGATACATAGAAAGATGAACTTTAAAGGGTTAATCAAAACCATAGGGAAAGTTTCACCCTGGGGTAACCAAGGAAACTGGTTGCGTCTGCTCCCATGGGATACTTAGGGATTGGAAAGTTCCTGGCCATTCTGCCTGGAAGGAAATTCCTGAAGAGTCTTTCTGCTTCATCAGTGGCAAAGCATCTTGCATGCTAAGTTGCTTCAGTCATATCTGACTCTTCGTGGCCCAAAGGACAGTAGCCGCCAGGCTCCTCTGTCCATGGGATTCTCCAGGCAAGAATACTGAAGTGGGTTGCCATGCCCTCCTCCAGGAGGTCGTCCCAACCCAGATATCAAACCTCAGTCTCTTAAGTCTCTTGCATTGGCAGGTGAGTTCTTTACCACTAGTGCCACCCGGGAAGCCCCATCAATGGCAGGTCTAGATTTAATTCCATTCTTGATTCTTGCATGGGCCTTCTATATATGTGTACAAGAGTCTATTTCTAAGAGAGAAGTTGTAGAATCATAGGGCTGTACTTCTTCAAGTTTATTAGAAGACATCAAATGACTTTTCAAAATGGTTGCACCAATTTAAATTTCCCCCAATGGTATATAAGTGTTAATATCATCAGCAATACTTGCTACTTTTTCAGAACTTTTAAATTTTGCTTTTCTGATAGGCGTGAAAGACTATTATCTTTGTGGTCATAATTTGTATTTTTCTTACTACTGCTACATTGATATTTTCAAGTTTATTGGTATATTTTCTCTCCTATAATGACTGTTCGAGCTTTGACAGTTTTTTATTTGTAGAATCTCTTTATGTATTCTGAATATTTAACTTTGGTCAGTTGTGTATGTTGCAAGCAAACAAAATCTGAGTC